CTTGGGCATATATAGTGTTAACCGAGTCTGTGTTTGTGTGTGTGTGTGTTTAGGGTGGGGGGGGGGGGGGGGTTGGGAGGGGAAAAAGAATTGTAAGAAGAACATCCCCGGTCTCACTGCAACTTCAAAAGCTCCCCTTCCCCAGGATATTAAGCGACTGTGATGAAAAATTTAGCAAGCGTTAAATAAGCCGCTTTGAAGTGATCTGTTTTGGCTCACTAGTCTCCAAATTTCCATAGCCCCTCTGCAATAGCCATCACACTATGGGGGGGGGGCAGTGTTAAGTGCAGGAGTTGTGAGGGACCTGGCAGGATGGCAGAGGACGTGCCAACCGTAATTGGTCCAGCCAGCGACATGAAGGCACTGCCGTCCCCTGTTGTCTTTTTCTGGCTCTTTTTCACCTCATTTCACCTCCCTCTGCTGCTGAACCCCATGAGTCGCAGGCAGACAGATGTTCCTCATATGTTCGCTCTAAAAAGAGATTTTCTTTTTTTCTCCCCTAAAGCGTGGGAGTAACACAAACGTAACGCAGTGGTGATACCAGGAAGTCAGAGGTTACTCTCGGGTCTCGACTCTGCGTTTGTAAAACAATACGTCCTCCTCTGCGTGTGTGTTCACTTTACTGCTTTATATAACTTGAACAATTATTTTTAAAAGAAGAAAAGAAAATACGGCACATTTCAAGTGATTTGGACCTTTTTTACACTTCCACCACCATAAAACAAAACTAACACGAAGTTAACCTCCTATTTGATAATTCATATTTCAATTCATTTCACATTCAACACTTTCAAAACCATTGTTTTAATTTTTGAGTACTGCAGGTTTCAACACGCCCCAAATTAATTATTGGGGCAGAATAAGAAATGGGAGCCAGTAATGAGGCGGGTATGGTAACTCCATTCTGTCAAGAAACTAGGCTACCATTTAGTTAGTCAGGGGAACCTTCTCTGAGATTTTCCTTTTTTTCCTCTTTGCTCATTACTTTAATTGTAATTGTAATCCTTTATTGGAGCTGTCTGCAGTAAAGGAGAGTTATGGTCCGAGTGGGGGCGCGAGCCATAGAGATATTTCATGATTATTGGAGAAGACGGTCACTAGGTGGCAGCCACTAGTTCGGCCTTGCTGTAATTACTGGGTGGGAAGTGATGGCGAGAAACTGTGTGTGTGTGTGTGTGTGTGCGTGCATGCAAGGGTGTGTGAAGAGAGATTTTTCAGATTGTAACACACTCCTTGAAAGAGGAAAGTCAAATAAATCTGATCACCTGCCATCTCGCAGTCAATAGATTCAGTATCCTGGCACATTGACTGTAAACATGCTGAACACTCTTGCAAAGGCACAGAACAAAGGCGTGTGCGGAAAGCATCAATCTTCATATTTTTATGTTTAATTTCACATACGTAAACTTACTATGAATGTGATCTGAAGGCTGTATTTCACAGTGCGGCCTATAATGTGGAGTGATGTGGGATACGGGGATGACATGACAGCAATTGTGTGTGTGTGTGTGTGTGTGTGCGTGCGTGTGTATCTTTTCCCCCCATGCCCGTAGGTGTACTGAAACATCTGCACACCACCGCTTGTTTCAGTGGTCGGGCTGAAGTTTTTCTCTTTTGAA